CGACCGGGTGGGGGAGCGCAGCGGGGAGTTGAAGGCGCTGCCGATCTCGGAGGCAGTGTCCGTGCTCTCGTTGCTGGGGGTGGGAGAGGGCTGGGAGTGGGTGACCACCGCCATGGCGGCACCCCCGCCGCTCGTCTTGATGGACAGGGGAATGGAAAGATCCTTTTGAGATTCCTTCAGCTTCTCAGCCAGGACGTTGATGGTGTTGGGCTGGAGGACGGAGAGCTTGCCATCCGCAGCCCCCGTCACGTGCTCTTGCTTTACCTGCCCTTTCCTTTTGTACCTGCCCAGGAACACAGCAGGGAAGGTGAGTGGCTGGTGGAAGGAGGTGGAGGCCCAGCACGGGCACTGCCAGCTCTGCGCTCAGCACTCCAGGCTGTCTGCTGGGACGAAGCAAGGCCTGAAACACTTCTAGGTCGCCCCCACTGCTACCAGCTTCTCTGACAGCACCCCACCCCACCAAACCACTCAGCTACAGGGACTCCCACGCAGCCAGGGGGCACAGGGGACTTCCCAAAGGGTGCTGCGTACCCCTGCTCTTCTTCCAGAAGCCCCAAGAGCAGCCTCGCTGTGACCCCACCTTCCTGACCTTCACAGCAATCTAAGCACGCCAACACTGTCACCAGGAGCTGATTTGGCAATTGGCACTGGGGAACTGAGGTTCATTTTGGAGAAATGAAGCCCCCCCCAGGCAGGGCACACCACATTTCCTTGATCACCAGGCACCCTTCACCCAGCCTCCGCCCTCCAACTGCAAAATACAGCGATTTATCAGCTACCAGGTGACCTTCTGCAGGTCAAGCTGCACCACCCACACAGCCACCAGTGTAACTAGAAAAGCCCTAGCAGGAGGGAGCTACGGAGGAGCCCCCCAGAGCTGGGCTATTCCATTTATTCGGGAACATCTGGAAAAGGGGGAAAGCAGAGAAGCCCAAAGTTTGCTGCCGATACACAGTTACTCAGGGCAGCCAAAATTCAGGGTTGATTGTGAAGAGCTACAGAAGGGCTTCACAAAATCCAGCGAGTAAAGAGTAAAATAACAGCCCAAGAGAACAGCCCTAATGGCACACACAGGTGCAGGCTCTAACACAGCTAACAGCACTCAGGAAAGAGATCTGGAAGTCTCTGCTGGTGGTTCTGCAAATGTCTGCTCCCTGCCCCTCGCCCTCAGCTCAAGCCGTCACCTGATGGCCGAGTTGGTGTTACGAACTTCCTCCTCATCATCATCATCATAGTCATCCTCATCGTCCGAGTACTGCTGGTGCTGTTGGACTGGGACCCGGCTGCGACCCACTCCTGCCGCAAGGTCTTCCTCCTCCTGCAAAACACCGTTGCTGACGGCCTGCCGGCAGCGGGGCAAGGAGGGAGAGCCCAGCGGACATGTCCTCGGTCCAGCTGAGCACCGGGGCTTGCCCCGTCCAAGAGGAGACGGGACTCTTCCCTAGGCTTGCTCAGTTGACCCACATTAACGCTAACCGCTTTTGCCAGGTCAGTCTTTACCCTCACCTTCCAGCCTGGGTTAGTGCAAGGGTAGGCAGGCTGCAAGGCAGGGGAAGGGCTTAGACTGGCTGACAGCCATAGTCCCATGGAGGTGAGGGACTGGAATTGAAAAACTCAGCTCAAGTCAGGCGTGCTGCTGGCCTGGAGCTCCAGCCTACCTGCATGGGGGATTTGGCATAGTTGTGATTATCCAGGAAGGCTGGCAACCTCTGCACAATGGGGTTGGGGTTTGCTGGAGGCGCCCCGTTGATACTGCTCGCTGACGTCTTTGCCACTGGTTTGGATTTGTTGGGTGGGCTCTGCGTGGCCGCGGGGTGGCCCTGGCTGGCGGGCTCATCGGTGCCATCTGCCATACAAGCACAGCACAGCCTTTTATGACCAGCACCATCACGTTTTACTCAATGTCCTCTGCCACCCCTTGCCCACCCCACGTAGCAGAAGAGCTCTTACACTCCACCAGACCATCACACCCACTTCCCATTCCACCTCCAGCTGTCACAAGTGTCCCCAAGCTTCAGCCCTCCCATTTTCAAGCTCCACGTCCCTCCAACGCTTCTCCCAGGCACAGAGGCATCTACCACACCCCAGCACAATGCACACAGAGCTGGGCTTGGAGAAAAGAAAGTGAAGCTGACCATAAAACTCCCTCAAGCTCCAGGTCAGCCAGCCATCGTCACCATCCTGTACTCGCTCCACAGCAGGCCAGGCTGGCTGGCTGGCAACACCACTGGTACGGGGGGTCTACCTGGATGGGTGCTCTCTGGAGTCACAGTCTTGCTGCTGGCTGGCTTTGCCTCTTCCAGAGGCTGAGAATCCTGAGACTTCTGGGTCTGGATCAGCTCAGGCTGAGTTACTCGGATAAGCTTGAAGGCAAATGACAGATAGAAACTGAGTGCTGGACCGGGGTGACCCAAACCATATCCCTCCTGTTCAAGCACTGCATAAGGAGAACCGCCAAGCATCCATGCACACAATCAACCAACAACGCCACAGATAACCTCCCAGGTGAGCAGCAAAAGGCCAAGCAGCAACACTAGTTATCTCCTCTTCCCAAAAGACATTTCCCAAGGCCAAAAAAACCCCATAAAATCCAGGGCCTCTACAGCACAGGGTGATGCCCTGACAGCAGAGCCTATTCCCACCCCAGGCTCACACTCTCTTAGGGCTTGGGCTGTCCTACCTGCTGCAAGGCCTCCAGCACAGTCTGGCGGTTCATCTTCAGGATGTGCAGTTTGGACTCGTACTTCATCCTCCGATCAGGCACCACCGCCATCAGGTTGAAGCGGATGTCGTGGTACGGCTCCCTGCAGGAAGGGACAGCAGACGTCAGCTGCGAGCTGGCGGTGGAAATCCCATCTCCCAGCAAGGGGGGTCAGCAGGCTGCCAGCTGTACCCTGCACACCTCCTGCGGGCTCCTTCCAGGCTGCACCTCCCCTGCCCGGGCATTTAACACCAACACATGGGAGGCTTTTCCCCCAAAACCAAGTCAGCCTCACACTGCTGAAGAAGCAGAGCAAAGTTACTTCAGCCACAATGCAAAACACCCTTCACAGAGTCACAGGTTGGTTAAGGTGGGAAGGGACCTGTGGAGGTCATCTGCTCCAAGCCCCTGCTCCAGCAGGGTCACCCACAGCTTGTTGCTCAGGACCACATCCAGATGGCTTTTGAGTATCTCCAAGGATGGAGACTCCACACCCTCTCTGGGCAACCTGTGCCAGTGCTCGATCACCCTCGTGCCCAAGCATCCAAGAGGCCCAGCTCAGGACCAGAAGCACCATTCCTTCTCCTATGAACTCAAGCTAACAGGGACCTAATCTGGCCACTCTTGCCTGCGTGGCCATTTGCAGGGACTCTGCATCGCACAGAGAGTGCAGCTTCTCTGCGTGCTCTGAAGGCAGGAAAATTGCAGGCACGAGAACACAAGGAGGCAGTGCACCTGCACCCTTCCCAAGCAACATTCTCCACCCCCACTTCCACAACTTGTCGCACAGAGACCACAGTAGAAATAATCCAGGGAAAAATGGTGAGGGGCTCAGTGCCTGCACCACGGCCTGGGACATTACCCTGCAGTGGCCAGGCCGATGCGCTCCATGATTACTCTCCTGGCTTTGTCCGTCCATTCCTCGTCGTCAGCCCATGGCCCTGTGATAAGGAGACAAAGCTGGACTTAGCAAAGCAGGCCAAGGTTCCTGCTTCAGACTCACAGAGCAATCTCATGGCTCCCTTACATACCAGGGAGCAAGTCAAGAAGGGGCCCAGGAGGCAGAAGGACCACGCTGTCAGCCCATACGTGGAACCCCCTGCCTCTGCCTTCCGAATAGAAAACATGAGTTATCTGCAGGGCAGAAAGGTGAGTTTTGAACCCTACAGACCACAAGCAATTCACAGGCTCTGGGCTCACAAAGTCCAAGGAAATCCCAGCTCCTTCTGGAATCCACCTGCCACTGGATCTGGTGCCACGCTTAAGAAACCCAAGCGCATGAAGTGGGTACCTGACCAAAGGGCCTGACAGAAGCAAAGTCCTAGCGGGGATAAGTAAGCGTCTGAAAGACAGAACTAGTGGTCAAGTTGTAAGAGAAGGGAATAACCTGAGCAGCCTGCGACCTTGTGTTGGGACCTTGTGCCTCAACACACAGCGGTTACTTGGCACAAGGAGAGGGTAAGGAGGACACAAATACTGCTTGCGATACCGAGTTATTTCAGAGCTGCAGAAGGACCTTGTGACCCTGAGCAACTGGGGAGGAAAATGGCAAGGCTGGAAAAAGCAATACAATACATTTAGAAATAATTGCCTTCTAGACAGTCCCCAGCGCACAGGCTCCAAAATGAGTTATCAAAACTCAGGACAAATCTGGGAGCCTCTGGAGTGATTCTCCACAAACATTAGCTAACGCTTCGTGGCCATGAAAAATAATACATACATTTGGGCATAGCAGGGTGTCTATTCGACTGTGTCAACAAGTAGGGACAGGCAGGCTCTTACCGTGGTCAATGGGATAGACCTTCAGCCCATCCAGCTCAAACAGCCGTCCCTTGATGGGGACATAACTGACAAAATGAAAAGCCTCCATGGTTCGCACAGCGCTGATACCATTCTGCTTTTCCGGCAAGTGCCGTGGCTCCGGCCTACGAGGGCAAGAGATGTGAGAGGTCAGTGGAGAGTCTGCCTCCTCCAGCGAAAATAAGCTGCGAGATACCTCCTCACTCACCTGGCATGGCTGTTGTGGGCCTTGGCCAGCTCTGGGGCATTGCCAATGGCATAGCCTTTACTCTGCAACGAAGAGCAAGAGAGGAAAACAATTGAGAAGTGACAGGAAACAAACACCGGCTCCCTACTCCCTCCCTCCATCCATACACAGGACTGGGAGAGCAACTTGTAGCACATCCTCTGCTCTGCTGAGTTACAGGTAAAACTCAAGATGAAAAGAATGCACAATTTCTGCTAAAGAAGTTACAGTTAGAGAGAAACACAGACTTCGAGATAGGTCTGAAGGTAGGAGAGAGGACTTTTGATCACAGACTTAGAGAATGCACCTGGGCTAGGGAATAACAGGACAGAAGGCTCAGAGCTGTGCCCAGTGTAAGGGGACCAAGGCTCTGAGCAAGGCAAGGCAGGAAGACGAGAGAGAAGAGGCAAGGCTGACGTAATGTGCTGCCACGAAGGGCTGGAAAGGAGCCAGCTGGCTAGAGAATCATCCTGAGAGGGGAGCGAGGGCCAGATTCGCATGCGCCACCCGTGCACAGCCCTGCACACCTCCGCCCCTACCTCAGGGCTGAATCCTTTGGTGAAATCCTTCATGCGGCTCAGCGTGGGGCCCAGGTCAACATTGTTGCAGTTCAGGAGGACGCTCAGCAGGGCATGGGTGGCACAGGAATTGGGGATCAGCTGGAGGGTGACACAAGGACCATCTTAACCAGCAGGAACAGGGCAACCCTTCAACAACCCCTCAGAGTCGACAATAATCAATTGAAAAGTACTGATGCGAGAACCACTTGGAAGAGCAGCGACTTGACCTCGGCTCTCAAGGGAAGGGAGGAGGTCAGTCTCATTTAGCGAGCCACACCATGCCCCCATGAGCATCTGCTCACTGCGCAGGCCATGGACAGGCTCGCAGCCTTGCTGGATTCCCTCCAACCTGGAGCTCAGGGCAGAGACTCCCAGGAAAGAGGAGCTGCCCTCAGGACCAGTAAGAGCAGTGCAGCCTCTCAGTACCACATTGCTTCCCTGAGGTGTCACACGAGACACCGCCTCCCCTCTTTACCCTCGCCTCCAAGCTACCTGGTGAGCAAAGAACATGTTATTAACGATGTCATCATCGATCACCGACGTCTCATCCACCAGGGTAGAGACCTTCCGGCGTGATCTGCGCTCCTCAATCCACTTGAACAGGAAGATGAACCCATACACAGGGCTGCAGAGAGAAGGCAGCAGCTGCATCATTTTGGACAGACCACACCAGTGGGGCTGCTCTGCCCAGCACCAGAAACCTTCTGTTTCAAACCACGGGCAGAGCAAAGACTGGGACGGAAAGCAGAACCACCAGCCCCATCTTTCTGGAAGTGACCATCCCTGTTACCCAGGACACTCTGCTGCGCTGATGCTCCAGGCTCAGATAACAACCAAGTTTGAAAACTTTGGCGTTTGACAGGTCTTAAGAGGCTCAAGACAGAGAAACGGGAGGTGAAATCCACCTCTGGACACTGACTGACCTGCAGAATAGTGCCTAACACCAAGCGACCCCTCCTTTTATAAATACGTTGTCTTCATTTTCAAGAGGAGATCAGACAATGGCTTTTAAGAAAGCAACAGTCTCAAAGCCATTTTAAAGCACTGAGACAGGGAGAAAGCCCACACTGCAAGCACTTGGCATTGCACCTCTCCATGAGGAAAGGGAGATAAATCCCCTGAAGTATGTCCCCCACCCGTCCCACGAGGTCTTTCTTAAGGCATGAGATCACCCATCTCCCCCCAACCTGATGAAGCACTCCTGGTTCACCGGTTACAATGCTGACCAACGAGCTCACACAGACCCTTCTGACCACTGGGCCCACAGACGCATTCTGCTTAATAAAACTCAAACTTTCACGCCTGTGACTTACCCTTGGCATTTGCTCTGCAGATCATAAATCTCTTCAACCTGCACTCCCTTGACCCCTGCAAACAAAGGGCAGAAGCTGGTGTAAAGCCCACCAGAAAGGACTAGGGGTAATGTCAAGCACGAAACGGACTTCCCAGGAAGGCTTCTTGTACTCACCAAAATCTTCGACCAGGAGTGTGAAGAGACCTGAAAAGGAACAAAACCAACAGGTTACTTCTGGCTGGAGAGAGCAGAGAGGAAACCTGCTGCCACCAGCCCCTGAAGGTCCTATGTGGTCCCAAGCCAAGGCGCAGCCAGAAAAACCGCAGCAGAGCGGCACCGGGATCACACTGACTCCCCAGCAGCAGAGCTGTTAAGCCCTGGCTCGCTACAGAGGTGCTCTGGCTCCCTTCATCCCTCCATCCCTATTCATCATCCTCTTCCTCGAGAGGACCTGAACCAACCCTCTCCTGTTGGAGCCAGATGAAGCTGGACCCACCTTCAGCATCCTGACCCCCTGCAGATGACCTGCCAAGAAGTAAATCCCCACGACGAGCGGCAGCAGGGAACACCTAAATGACACACACTCTTCTAACTGGAGGGAAATGTGGCTGAATAGATCACAGGATATTTTTTAAAAATGTTATTTATGTTCTTGTTAGCAAAAGACAGCCAGTGAAGGGAAAGCCAGCTCAGAGCAACAAGGCTGCAGGGGAGTCCGAGGGCCGAAAGGCTCATCTTCATCTCCCTCTCTCCTGGGGGACCAAATCCAAGAGCCTGTCTCCAGTGATGACAAAATTCCCACTACAGGAGGACATAACCAGGGATACCGAGACAACGGCAAAGAGACTGAAGGATTATTAGACATCAGCGACTGAGCAGCAGCTTCCACTACGATGCTGTAGCAAAGGCAGTCAGCCCAACTTCCAGGCGGTTCCCCCGCTCGCAGAGTTAGCGAGCTCGAGACTGGAATAATAAATCTGCTTCTTTCGCTCCTGTATAAAGGCTGCTGAAAGCCTGGGAGGAAGTCCAGGGAATATCAATAAGAAGGATTCAATCCTGAGAAACATCCCTGTAAGCAAAGGATTTAAGGAACCTGATGTAAGTGGCTCAATCAAGAAGGGAAGAGCCCAAGAGTCTTCCACACCAAAGTTAAAATGACTAAAACAGGGAAGAAACTTCTGGGAGCAAAAAGTCGTCATTAATTTAGCAGAAAACGTATTTCTTACAAAATTGTCAGTGGGAAGAAACATGCTATGGAAATAACATGCTTTGAACCAGTGACAGCCTCCTCCTGTGCAACGCCATTACACCAAACCCCGGCACCTTTCTGACAGAGATGTTTTTGCTCAAAATACTTGACGCCATGGAGGGCCATGTCTACAGAGACTTCAGGCAGCGCTGCAGCTTTGCTGCCTTCTTTGCAGCAACCCCCTTAGGGCAAGCGGTCCTCGTAGACCATATGGGTCTTCAGATGCTCATTACAGCCACAGTTCTTGTTCCCTCTTTAGATGGCGTCCGTTACGGAAGCAGGAGTCGCAGCTGCTTACAGGTAGAGTCTCTCAACTGTAAAAGCTTCCGCAAAAGTCGAAAACCTCGCTCACTCTCCAATTTCAACAGTTACAGTCTACTGATCACAGCAAAACACAGCGAGATGTGAACCGTATCACAAGCTCTGCCTCGCAGCCAGCGAAGATTTGCATCAGAGCAAGGCCTTGCAAATACAAACAACCGTAAATACGGAAAGCAGCGCTGCTCCCACAGGTACCACTAGAAGGAGCAGACCAGGCAGGATCCCAAGCTCGCTGTGGCTCAGCCTAGAGCACTCCCACATCTCCGCAGCAGCTCTCCAGGACCGTGCTTCAGACCGGCAGGGCTGCACCGAAGGAGAAGGAAATAACCTTCCCTCCCAGGTGTGAGAATCCAAACCATGTCCTGTCTTCAGCGTCATCATGATGAAGAAGAAGGGAGAGGATGGGAATGATTTTGGCAATTCCCAAATACCAGTAAAAGAAGATAAAGAGCAGCAAAACCTGGGCTGACTGGGAGACTGACAGCAGACAAAATTCTTCGCTGAGTGCAGGAAGACAAGCATAATGCCAGGGGTCCAATTTCCTCACCCGCAGCCTCAAAAATACCCCACCACACCCTAAACACCAGCTCTCAGCCTCCCAGAGGACGACCACAAATCACACTATGGCAACACAGACTCGTTAAAACAATGCTCAGCCAATGCCCCAACTAATGCCAGCTTTGGCCCTCAAATCCTGATCCACAAAACAAACTCCACGACTCCACCACAGAAACCACCTTCTCCAACACAGTGGGAAGGGGACGCCCATGACCGTCCTGCTCCTGGCTGCTCAGGCACCATAACGGGCTCTTCAGCACCTTTCCTGGACTACCTGAGGGAGAGGGTTTGATCCACCCACTCAGCTGCAAAGTGCTGACAGGATCTGACATGCATGGGAGGGAGACACCACCCTCACGTGCTCCCGAGTGAGACAGGTTGTCCTCAATCACCCGCGAAGCTCTGGGGCAATCGCCAGAGCTGTTTCTGTAGCAAGGGGCATCCCATACGCACACCTCTCCCTGTATCTCAGTGATATTTTGGGGTGTATTTGGAAACGACAGGAATGCTTCATGCTACACCCTCACGGCATTTCAGATGTGTTCCACAGAGGCCTCTGGGTTTATCAGATCACACACACACAGAGGTGTCCCCGCGAAGCTCTGGGGCAATCGCCAGAGCTGTTTCTGTAGCAAGGGGCATCCCATACGCACACCTCTCCCTGTATCTCAGTGATATTTTGGGGTGTATTTGGAAACGACAGGAATGCTTCATGCTACACCCTCACGGCATTTCAGATGTGTTCCACAGAGGCCTCTGGGTTTATCAGATCACACACACACAGAGGTGTCCGGGGCCCCTCGGACCCCATGTGCAAGTCCTGCCACAGCCCAGGCCCCACTCTGAGCCCTCAATGCTCCTGCCCTCATCCCACACCTGCACCCCATCCCTGCCCTCATCCCACACCTGCACCCCTACACGCAGCCTCCTGACATCCCCTTTTCTGTCTGCCCTACACCCTCATAACCTTTCCCTAAATCCTCTCCACAGCCCCCTGGGCTACGTCCCATATACCATGACCCCGCAAGCCCCCCTTCTCCCCAGGACCCACATTACTCCTGCCCCACACACCCCTACACC